AATGCATTTAATTAGGGACACTTAATTAAAGAAATTTAATTAAGCAAAATTCTTTAATTAAGGAAAAATATTTTACTTAAAAAAAAAAAAAAAGGTTTCAAGCAAGAATTTTTTGCAGAAGATTTTGTTTGCAGAAAAGTTTTTGTTGCAGGATCAAAATTGTTTGCAAGGCGGAAGGGCTCGCGGGAACGAACAGGTGCGAAGCAGTTCGGATAAAGGGCGACGGCAGTTCGGTGAGATATGCTTCGGGGAGTTCGCGGTAGAGGCGGCGTCGCAATTTTGAGGCGCGACAGTTCATGAACTTTCGCGGCATTAGGCGAAATCGAGTTCGCGAACAGGAGTTCGTGTGCAGTTACCGCGAACAGGAGCGTTTGCAAACAGAGGAGTTTGGTGGTGTTCGACTAGCGGAGTTTGCAAGTTCGTCGCAGGAGGAGTTGCGACAGGTGGAGTTCGGTAGGAGTTGCGACATGTGCAGTTGCAGCGGAGTTCGCAGATTTGTCGCAGGAATTGCGGCATGTGCAGTTGCAGCGGAGTTCGCAGGTTTGTCGCAGGAATTGCGGCATGTGCAGTTGCAGGGGAGTTCGCAGGTTTGTCGCAGGAGTTGCGCCATGTGCAGTTGCAGCGGAGTTCGCAAGTTTGTTGCAGGAGTTGCGACATGTGCAGTTGCAGCGGAGTTTGCAGATTTGTCGGAGGGATTGTGGCATGTGCAGTTTGCAGCGGAGTTCGCAGGTTTGTCCTGGAGTTCATCTGGTGTTTGCAGTATTTCAGCCGAATTTTTGTGCAAACAGGAAATGTGTTTCGTGTGAAAAACTTGATTCACGAATCACTGAAAAATGCGGGAAATTGCTGCAAATTGACAGAGAAAATTTCAAGTTTATTTGAATTTATTTGTGGTGTGTGTTTTGTTTCATACAAGGCAGGTAAAGTTCACTGCAGGATTAAATTCGAAGGGTAATGTCTGGTGCAAAATTTGAGATAGTGAAGTTTGACGGAACAAGGAACATCGGATTGTGGCAAACAAATGTGAAAGATTTGTTGGCACAAGGAATTTTGAAGACATTACGAGCTATGAAACCTGATGGTATTAGAGTTATCTCTGTCGGATCATATGATGGAAATGCAGCAAGTATGTTGACCAAGCCAGGTACTTTCAACAAGTTCTTGAATTGCTTGAACTTGTGGAATGTTAGCAGTTGCTAGTTGGCATGGTTGCCCAACCCACTACGGTGTAAGAAACTTCATGATGCATTTTCTCCTAAGGGGCTGGATATTCGCCAAGGTGGAGAATTGTTAGGTATGACTCATAATACCAGGATTTGAAGTCTCTTGGAATGAAGAGATGTCTCTTGGAATTGAAGAGATGTCTCTCTTGGAATTCAGTGGGTTGAGATCAGCGAGGGCGCAGCAGAAGCATGATGGCCTAACCCACATTGGTGCAGGTGTAACTCCCAAGTATCTTTTCTCCTAAGGGGTTGGATATTCGCCAAGGTGGAGATTTGTTGTGGTATGACTCATATACCATATAGGGACAGACGCTGGAACGAAGCGGAGTGGAGCGGAGCGAAAGAATCTGTCCAAATTGGAAAGTTACGTTATATGGGTTGGGGCTATACGATACAGGGGTAATTTGGGAATTACATATTGTACTACAGGGCTTACTCTAGGATTATAAATAGACCTGTTTGTAATCCTAGGTCTATGAGAGAGTTGAATTTTGTATTCTCTATTCTTTTCTGAATATTGAAAAGGAGGTCACCGCTCTGCTCCCGAGGAAATAGGCATCTTTGCCGAACCTCGTTAAATCTCCGTGTTCTTCTGGATTTGTGTCGATTCCTATTTTTCTTCGCCCTAATTTTCTCAACAATTCTTGCTGCCACATTTTATATGTACACCTATGTATTTACTTATCTAGCACCTAAATTTTACTTCTTTACATTTATATCACCTAAATCATTCATATCACATAAAAAGTACCACAATTTTAGATTTTAAGAAGTAGAATACATTGTTTCATATATAAGTAGAGTGTCAAGCATAGGGCTGTAAACGAGCCGAGCTTAAGCGAGCTCAGGCTTGGCTCGTGTTCGACTCGTTCGAAATAGCTCGTGTTCAAAATCGGCTCGTGAACAGTGTGTTCGTGTTCGGCTCGATTAAATATTTGTGTTCATGTTCGGCTCGTGTTCGGCTTGTTAGACTAAAATTGAGAAAAATAGATGTAAAGTGTGTGATTCGAACCTGGATCAAATATATACAAAAGAAGACACTAACCACATTGTCACATGAGGTGTTATAATTTAAATTTAAACATAAATATATATAATATATTATTTTATAAATAATATATGTAATATATTATTATATTAAAAGTTATATAATTTTTTTCGAGTCATTTTGAGCCGAACACTAGCGAATAAACTGCTGTTCGTGTTCGGCTCATTTACATTTCAATTTTAAAAATTTGTTCGTACCGTCTAACCTTTGTTCGTGTCGTACGAGTCAATTCTGGGAGCTGCTTAACGATCTGAACATGAGTTGTTCACGAACAACGAGCCAAATTGACAGTCCTAGTCAAGCAGGTAAAAGTTGAAGTTTAGGTGTTAGATTTGTAATTACAAAAGAATTGACTCGTACGTCGGTGATGTGGCTGCCTAAGAGCGTGAAGCAAAGAATGGCTTCTAGCTTTATTTTGCAAGACAAAGGAAAGCCAAGACCGGCCGATCACGGAGAAATAGCTTCAAAGCAGCTCCCTTAAATTCCATTTACCCAAAACCGGATGAAAGCTTAAAACATGCTGATATTTACTGTGCACACATCACCGACGCACTTCGCGCTTTGGACTTCCAAAATACACAAATAAATATTTTGTTAATTCAATATAAAGCCACGACCAATGCACCCACCATTCTTTCCTGCCTGCCAGGTTAGCCGGACACCAACTGGCCGGCGACCACTTCACTCCGGGGGCCATCCACCGGCCGGCAGCCAATTGGGCCGACCACCTCCCAGACCAAAAGTTTACATAAACGCCTTCAGCCGACGGCTGGTCACCCACCGGACAGCCATCACTTTCCAAACCGCAAAGATTTACATACATATCACTCAATCCTTACATAATATGCTCAGCAGACTACTCAATTGCCGTCCCCCTTGTCCCTCTGACCGAGAACCCAATCGGCCGGCCGTCTTGGTTAGCCAATCGGCGACCTCGCCGAACAGACCCAGCAGCAGGCTTTCGGCCGGTCAGCTGTCCAAATTTCCCTGGGTGTAGCTCACACATTAGCAATTTATGAGATGTCAATATTTAAACAATCCAAGTAAAGCTACAAAGCCGAAGCTCCGAAGGGAGAAGATTCGGAGACAGCCAAAGGTTAGACGGTGCGCGCCTAATGACGGAAATAACCCACACTATTCCCCTTAAAATACAGGTAAAGATGTAATTTTATTTTTGCTTTTCCTACATCTATAAATTTCATTTGTACAAAAGATGAGCTGTCTGAAGCCTTACAAAACTACAAATCAATAACACCATCGAACAATTTACTTATTTATTTATTTTTTTACGGATTAGAGTAGGCGTGTAAACGAGTCAAACACGAGCAAGTCTGGACTCAACTTGTGTCTGGCTCGTTTATATTTTGAGCTCAAACAATGTGTTTGTATTCAGCTCGTTTTGTTAGCTAATGAGTCAAACACAATCTTCTTATTAAACCGATCACAACAACGTGCCATTTTGACAGTCTTAGATTAGAGACATTAAAGGTACGGAAATTGAATTTCTAAATATGGAAATGTATAGTTCTTGAAGCAGCTGTTCAACTATTGATCGGGCTAAGCCTGTGTCGGCAAGTTAAGCCTTCATCATAATCGTCCGATTTAGATCAGAGGGCTGCTGCTTCCCTTCCATCTGGCATATAGGCCAACATTCGCCCACCATCAATCCTGATAGGTTCTCGCATTGGGTGCTGACGTGTAAGAACCGCGGTCACCCTCCCGTGCTATATATTATTAACAGCTAGACAAGCCTAGAGAGAGAGAGAGAGAGTAAAGAGGAGAATCAGGGGAAGATACCACGGTGGCCGGAAGGGGAATCTCGAGGGAATATTCTTTATAGACCGAGTGTGAAGGTGGCGGCCGTGGCGTCGTGGGCCGTTCGATCGGGATCAGGCGGTGCGGGGATGGGGATCGCGAGCGACGAGTTCGTGGAGATTCAGTTGGGAAAAAATGCTGGCGAGCCGACCGTCGTCACCGTTAATTGTCCCGATAAGACCGGCCTCGGCTGCGACCTTTGCCGAATTATTCTCGAGTTCGGACTCTGCATTACCAGAGGAGGTGACATATGGTTTCTACTCTTTTTATTTTTTTCATGTTTTTGTTCGTTCGAATTATGTTGGATTAGGGTTCCATTTTATGTAAAGTCGATTGGACGATTTTTCTTGATTTTCATGCGTGCTTCTGTTTTTTAGGAAATTTGTCGGTTGGGGTTCGGCTTTTATGGAAATTATTAATTCCGTTTGTTCGGTGAGGGAAAACATTCACCTAGTTCTTAGTGCAAGTTTTGTTGAGAAATTATTGTCATAACGTTTTCATGTATTTAATGTACCCGTGAAATAATTGATTGCAGTGTAGAATTATTATGTTGATCGGAATCTGTAAGGCTATGTTTGGATGTTGGAACTTTGTTCTAAAGTACATGAAAAGAGATTAAGAAGCTCAAATCAATGGTTTAATGTTTATAATTTTGCCATAAACTATTAGGACATCATTTCATTTCCATATAAACAAATCCTAAATTTTTTAATGAACTTTTATCGATAAAACAAATTGGAATTTTGAGAACAAATTGCGTTGCAATGCTGGAAATTCAGCCACCGAAGGCTTACTTCCCTCTGTCGTTTTGGTGTAGATGTATCAACCGATGGGCAGTGGTGCTTCGTGGTGCTATGGGTTGTTCCGTGCTCTCCCAAAATTAACATCCAATGGACAAGTATGAAGAACCGTTTGCTATCAGAGTGCCCGACTTTTTCCATTCCATTCTATTTGGATTTAGGAAGCTTACCCAAGACAACTCAGACTTTTCTCCTCAAGCTGTTCTCGGTTAATAGAAAGGGACTTCTACACGGTAAATAAGCTTTTTGTTGTTTATTTGAATATCTAATAGTTGAAAATTGAGGTTTTGGCTGTTAATTTTTTGTTTTTTATGCATTTTTTGAGTTGATGCAGATATCACTCATGTTCTCTGCGAGCTTGATCTCTGTATCCATAGAGTAAAGGTCTCTACAACGCCAGATGGAAAAGTTATGGATCTCTTCTTTATAACTGATGGCATGTGAGTAGAAAATTCTCAATTTTGCTGCATATTTAATTTATTATGTTTTGTTAGTTTCAATTGAGTCTACAAGATGTAGGCCAGGAAACATGCTCTTGATTGAAATTAGTTTGAATATTTTTGGTTCTTTCATTGCAGAGCTTGTTTGATCTCTGATAATTGAGTTTTAGCATAATTCCTCATATATTGTGCTTATATCCTGGAAAATACAAAAGATATGTCTAAGGAGGTTAGAGAAACAATAATACTTGCTGTAGGCTTAATTTTAATTTGTTATAAATTATGCAGATAAATTTTCTTCTGTTTTGCCCTGCTTGTTTAATTCACCTATCAAAATAGTACTTTTTTTAAGAAAATGAATTAGCTGATTGCATTTACTCTGCTTTGGTGTAGGGAGCAACTTCATACTAGAAAACGACAAGATGAGACGCGACAGAAATTAATTTCTGTTCTTGGAGATTCATCCATAACCTGTGAGATTGAGCTAGTTGAAAACTTTCAGCAGGGATTCTCTTCACTTCCACCTACTGTTGCTGAGGAACTTTTCAGTCCCGAGCTATCAAACAATCAACTAACTTCACAGGCCCTGACTTCAGACTTGGCTAAAATGAAAAAAGTTAATGTAACCATTGACAACTCCTTGAGCCCCTACCACACTTTACTGCAAATTCATTGTGCCGATCAGAAGGGACTTCTCTATGATATTTTAAGGACTCTGAAAGACTACAACATTCAGGTATTGCTCACTGTACTTTTCGTTAATATTGATTCAAATTCTGAACTTTTTTTCATATCTAAAATATGGACCATAGTTGCTGTTTACACAATTAATGCCACTCCGTTGAAAGCTTCAAACTTACATAGGAATGTTTGAAAATTTTTAATGTGGCATGATTGGGTTATAATTACTCGTCCAAGTATTAAATACTATTACTCCATTTTTATTACCTGGCAATACGCTTTTGAAAAGTATTAAACATTTGTTTATCATCTGTACGACCAACTTGTTAAATAACCCTACCTGCAACTTGCTAAATAATAAATGTTCTGAAGCTGACTGCATTAGTTTATGACACCTACACTTTACTTACCGTTTTCCGTTTTTTCTATCCCTCCTATTTCGCTTACTCTATTTGTGTGTGTGTACTGTTAGTAATAATTTATGAAAAAGGTCGAATCTTTGACTGTTTCAATGGCCATTTTTGTTTTCTGATACAAATTGTACTGTCGGTCATGAGATTAGATTTGTTACGGGAGATTCATGTCGGATATGAATGGTTATCGAGAAATAGACCTGTTCATCCAACAAACCGACGGGAAAAAGATTTTGGATTCAGAGAAGCAGGACGCTCTGTGCTCCAAACTGAGGCTGGAAATGGCCCAGCCATTGAAGGTGATCATAGTCAGCCGCGGGCCAGACACCGAACTCTTGGTTGCCAACTCTGTCGAGCTCTGCGGCAAGGGAAGACCACGCGTCTTCTACGACGTCACCTTAGCTCTTAAAATGCTCGACATCTGCATCTTCTCTGTAAGAGAACTCATTCATTGGCCACCAATTTTTCTGCCAAAATATCATTTTTTGTCACTGTTCATCTGATCTGTATGCAGGCTGAGATCGGCAAGCACAACACGGCGGAGCGTCAGTGGGAAGTCTACAGATTTCTGCTGGATGAAAGGCGAGATTTCCCACTATCAAGTAGACGAGTTAGAAGCCAGATTGTGGATGGAGTCCGAAGAGCACTAATGGGCTGGTAAACAAAGCCCCTATATGTTCTTGTTTGTACAGTAATTATAGCTATTGTACTCTAAGCCAACGATACCATAATAATTTCTATTAATCTAATATTTCCATTATGCTCAGAGCTTCATTACCCATCTAATTCAAAAATCAAAACTTTTTTGCTCTCCGATCGATGGAAGTGGAGATCTTTAACAATTTTAAGGGCTCACACTGTCCAGACAAAAAAAAAAAGTCATTTTTTTTCCAGAAATTAATTGATGGTGGGCATTATCGGCTTTGATTCGGTGGAAGGATGAGGTCCAAAATTGATCATTTAGGCAGAGCTTGTGGTGTTTAGGAGGCGTGATGTGGTTTTCAGGGCTGATTAGTAATGGGTGGGGCCCACTGCTGATGTTCCCTGACTTGTCGTCGTGGGTGACTGTTTGTTCTTTTGTTAAATTTGAGCCTGAGCGCTGCGCCGCGGACGGCGGCTGGTGCGATCCCGTCCCATCGGAATTGATGCATATATTATTAGCATCTAATAATTCCTCCGGTTTTTGGAAAAGAGAGAGAAAGAAACCCTGATTTTAACGCCTAAAATATATTTTAAATAAATTATTAAAATATTTCGGCAAAATTAAAGATATTTTTTTCTTTTAAATAAATTATTAAAATATTTAGGCAAAATTATAAGATATTTTTTTATCATGAAACACAATTCAAAATATATTCTTTTTTATGGCATCCGGAATCCTGATCGTTATATATCTTTTATAAAATAATTTTTTTATCCATTGTTTGTTTAAATACACTTGCTTGCATTTTTCATATATTTGATAAATTTATACCACGTGAAATTTGATCTCTAAATTTTTATATACTTAAATAAGCTTGCTTGCACTTTTCATATTTTTGAATAGCTTATACCACGTGAAATTTGATCTTAAATTTTTTATAAACTTTTTTTTTTGGCATTTACTTAGATATATATATATA